TTATTCAGCGGAAATGGAGTGATAAATTCAACTTTCTTTTCATTTCAAACACACATAATTTCACGCAGGACAACGGCTACTAGTTAAATATTAAAGCTAAATCAGCTAGTTAAATATTAAAAATGAAATGGTGTATTAAGTCAAATAACTCATTGAAGTTTTTCTCAAACTAAACTGTCCCTAGTAATTATGTTCCTCTTTCCCTCATTACTATACTCCTTGCTCTGTCCATCCCTCCACACCGCATTTTAAAACTTCATTTATGGTTTATTTGCTCCTAAAAGTGCATTCACAATACTAATTTGCCCAAATTAATATGGTTTTATTACTTTGTAATGCAGCGCTGCAATGGTAACTAGTTCGGGGAGTTCCAACGGGATACAATTAATAAAAAGCCTCCATTCGACATACAAACATTTGTATAGTTAAGGAGGAAATACGCTATATATAGTTGACTATGAGAGAGTTCGCAACGAAAACAATTTTCCAAATTTCTAATTAAGCAGTGAACAAGTTTCTAATTAATGCAAACACGCATACAGTCGCAGAAACATAAGATCACACTCACACATCTACGTATCTATGCCGCACAGCGCGTAGAACGCAATTGCAGTCGCCTAAAATGGGTACACGTGACTGTACGAAGGCAGCTTCCATAAAATGGCTCTCATTCATGAGCTCGCACGCACACACTCACGCAGCTCAACTTAAACGCCTCCGCCAGCAACTGGCAACAGTTTTATTTGCACTTAATTGCTGCGAAAAGTGCGACCGCCACCCACGAAGTGAACGCTACACACACGCCGCCACCGCTTAATGACGCTGTACTCTTATGTGTGGTGCATGCACGCATATCATGGAAAATGTATTCGCTTTAATTGCACTCAAGGATAAGCGTGGCCAATGGCGGCAATAGCACACTTACGGAGGCGAATTCTACGTCTGTGTGGAGTTTCTCTTTATTGTAAGTGGCGCGCGGCCACAGAAATGGCGCAAGGCTGCCAAGGTCCTCTTTATTAAATGCTGTGTGGCGCGCTCTGCGGTGCCTGCATTGGCTGCGGCTGTTGTTGTTGCTGCATTGGACTGTTCATTATTGCAAATATTTGTTGCAACCGTGTGGCATGCGGCGCATAACTTTACACATTATGAAGTTATTGTAGCGTGTTTGTTAGTTTTAATAAAACAGCATTTGTTTTCGATTGCGGAATTAGTTTCCAAACTAAATATTATAATTACCGATTCAAATTTAAAAAAGCAAGTAAGTAAGAGCTAGCGTCGGGTGTAATCGAACATTTTATACTCTTGCAACTTGCAAGGATTACAGCTGACTAGATACTTTCCGGTGTTGGTGATACTTCGCCAATTTGCACACTATCGTATGAGGATTTAAAAAATGTGTGTGTAAATTTGGGTGATATCGCTTTATTGGTGATCCGATCTGGAAAATTTCTTTAGATAATATTCTATGCCAAATTTTGTGAAGATATGTCGGCACACAAAAAAGTTTTCTACACAAGGACATAATCCCGATCGTCTGTCTCGTTGTTATGACAGCTATGTATATCCTTTAATGGTCTGATATCGGCTCGCAAAATTACCATCTTTGGGAGAAAAGGACGTGTGCACAATTTTAAAAATTGGGTGACTAATTGTCAAGAATCTCTCTATATATCGACTTGGTATGATGTCTTGCTAAAGCAAAATCCTTAGTTTAAATAAGGATAATGAAATGTATTCCGGATTCTATGGGTTGGAAAGGATAAGACAGTAATCTAATCCGAAAAACAACGAGTATATTTAAACATTTTTATTCGCTAAATTTATATATTATTTATCGGTAAAGAACACTTACACGGTCAATATCCGCTTATTTCGCACACACACTTTACAAACCGTCTTATTCCCATCGAGAGCTCGCACTCAATCTTAATTTTCGCTATTTTCCTGTAAATTCTCATTAAGCTAATTATACGCGCAGATAAACTATGAAATTGTTTGAATATATACAAAACAACAACTACAAAAGTGGTACACAAACTATGGAGCGAGGCGAATATACCAGATAGAAGTTAGACAATCAAGCAGATAGCCAAACATTGGCGGGCCATTGAGAGTGGGACCAACCAGGCAGGATGTTTAACCTTCAGCTTGCCGCTTTAATTAATCCCTTTCGTGTGCTCTGTCGCGCACACACACACATGCAACACATGAAAAGCCACTCTGTAGGAAATTTTCCTTCGCTTTTCCTTCAAATCTCGACTATATAAAAACGGACTATTTGTTGCAAGTATTAACCTAAGCAATACTGATCAGTACTGTAGAACTGTCCACAAACTAGTCAGAAAGGACTGTCCGGAAACTAGTAGTAGTCAAATTTGCCAAATTTTCAATATACGTATATGTTTAAAAGTGTTAGAAAAATTTAAAAAGACATCATATAATCAGTTACTTGGTGCCTCAATGCTCACTAAAGTAAAAATGTAGCTTCTATTTCGCAACATTCACAGAAAAATACAAACTAATATGAACAGAGTAGCTACATTTGTATTTATAAATTAAATGTGCCACCCTTTTGAACATAAACACAAACGAAATGGCCTTGTTGACTTCCTTTTCATGCTCTCATTACCTCTCTGGCATTTGCTGTGGGTGTTATGGCTCTGGCAACGGCTGCAGAGTTATTCTACTTTGCTGCTACCAATTTGTTGGCTTCAAAGCGCACTTAAATTAAATATAAAAGCACAAACAACAAAAACAGCAATAATTTAGCCAGCATTGGCAAGACAAGCTGTTTTACACTTTTTCTTTACTTCCCCTACGTGCATTTCATTTGAGTTTCACTTTACTTGTATTTTTATCATGGTTTATTCTTAATTCCCTTTTTAGCTCGCAGAAGTCCTCCCGGCCGTCTGCCGCTGTATGTGCATATAAAAATGTTTAAATGCAGGTACGCTTGGGTGTGCGTATGAGTGAGAGTACACAGCAGTTGAAAAATACTTTCATTACATTTAAAAAGTCATTAAAATTTCACATTCACACAGCAACTTATTCCACTTTTAATTTGGCTTGGCGACGAAGGCTTTCGTCTCACTGGCGTGAAGCAGCTGTGCGCCCTTCCTCTAACTGTCCTTCCGTTAACGGTCTCTAAATATCTGTCGCTCAGCATTAAGAGTTTCCTTGCACATACACACACAAACCCAATTCGTACATTTCTCAAACAACAGCAACAACACCATTGGCGATGGCAACGTCTTCACTCTTCGCTGCTCACTGTGCCAGCCTCTAATTCAGTGGCAACATGAGCGAAAGCAGCAACATCACCATCATCAACATCGTTGCCACTACATTTGCACTCTCAAACGGCATTTCTCTTCATTTTGCTTTCATTTCATTACATTTCAGTTCAGTTCACCGAACAGAACGTTCGCTCCCACTTACGATTATTTCTCTTTGCATGCATGCACCGTTCACCGTTATGCTTGTATGGGTGCCTGCGCGTGGCTTCGTAACAGCAGCGACTCATCTCGTAATCGCTATCATCGTCATCATTAATTGAGTCACTTTTCAATGATGAATGGCATGGCAAAAGCGATGTTCACAGTCAAGCGTTTATCCCTCCTCTTCCGCCACCGTCTTGTCGACCACAATTGTGTGACAGATGAAGCTTGGAGTTTACGCCAATGTGAAAGTGGCGATTGGGCCTTGCAGGATGGTTCTTCTCTTCAGCTGAGGACAATTACTAATATATAAGTGAATGCAAATGTACATGACGTATTGGCATGGGCGTCTGTATATATTATCTCTGGGTTTTCATTGAGGCAATAATCAACTTTATTCTACATCAATTACGAACAGCATTGTTGAGTTGCATGGCTTTGTTTTACGAGAAATAGCACATCTGTCTTTCATTTATAATAGTTTGCTAATGCGAAATTCTTGCCAAAACAAGTGCCAAATATTTATGAAAGTTACTGTGAAATTTACTCCCAGAACTTCAAGCTAATAATTCGGTGGAGTATTATATTCTGTGTCTTTGTCTTGCATTGATGAAAAGAGATGACGTGAGTCTCGTGAATTCCAATGTATAATTTTGCATTACTGAATTTCAAACAAATAAATTCCCATATCCACCTAATTAAAGCCTATATATAAAGAGTATTGTCTTTCTTAATGTACACCCTGTCACTATAGAAAAAAACACTGATGAACCGTCCCTTGTGATAGCACAGCAGTCATATAAAAATGCTCTCTGCTACTTTAATGTATCAGTCAGCCCCATCTCCACATTGCTACCAAAAAACTAGCGCTCACAGTGTGACCCTCAGCTTCAAAGCTTCTACACACTCTCACTTTCTCGTCTCGCGTTCTCTCTCGTCTTTAATGCCTGACTCTAATTAAGTTTAATACGAAAAGTTTTTGCACTGTCAACAAGCTGTTATGACGCAACGGAAGAGATAAATTTACAACGGTTAGTTCCTTGCCTTCCATCATTATGTATTTACCGTTGGACACCACAATGCTACGTTCGTAAGTATGCAAACAACGAAACAAAACAACAAAAGTCGGTGAATATAAAACTGTACGAAATGCGGGGTACTTTTCGAAAGAGGGATTACGCCTAATTGTGTGACAGAAGAAGCGAGCGTACCCACAGTTATGCTTCTTCCAACTGCAACTTCTGTCTGGCACTCACCATTTAATGATTGTGTCGTTACTTATAATTTTTACTTCACTCTGCACAGCAACAAAAAGTTCTGTGGTGTTCAAATTTTGGCAGACCCTCCGTCGCATAGTGGGACATAGCCGGGAATAATTAGATTCGCTCAATTTTTATTAACTTTTTGGACTTAGAATATTTAATCATAAATTTTTCAAATTCAAATATATTTTGACAATTACATTAAAGAGTCAGGATTTGTTGTTCATGTGTTCAAGTAACCACCAACTATTGTAGTTTAAAATGACAGTTCTTTTTTGCAGCTTGCAAAGATTTCCTACCAGAAATTCGACCGAAGGGTACAACTGAAGGTAGCCATCTGCATAATAGGTAAATTTTTAATTTAAATATATTTATTATATTTTGAAATTCTTTAAGTAACCACTGGAATTTTAAATTTAAGTAACTAACTTTTGTACCCAGAACAGTGTTTTTGAACTCCCGAACTCAATTTATGGAAGAGTAGAGATATTTGAAAAGAAGCTTGCTGAACAATGCTATA